ATTAGATGATTAAAGTGGGAAGACAATATGATATGCAATGTCTGTTGTAGTTTTGCAGGACATAGTGTCATTGGCCATAAAAAAAAGTTCTGTTCAAGCCATTTTAGCCATTTCCACCAAATCCTCAAAATATCTTTTAGCTTAGCTTTCTCATAAAGACTCTGTAAACATGATTTGAATGTATGGTCTTTGCATATCATATAGTTATATACTTCCCTAGGTATCAACTAAACTGATCTATGAGAATATATGATAATTTCGTTGATAAGTTATGGTCAATCCTTTGGAACATTTGAATTAACCCATTGAAATGGGGAAAATAATAATAATTCAATTTAAGGCTTCCTGATTTGTTGCCCTGGTCAATTGGGAATGAGATGTTGGCATCATAAAGAACAGATATCAGGCTGGTATACTGCTTCACTCAACCTATCATCCTTCCTTCTAATTCAACCCAAGATCACATCATCACCAATTCTCATTCATATGTATTTCCTGCCGATGTTGTAACCTCATCAAGTTCAATCCTCTTTCTCAACATGGCTTTCCAGATAGGCTTCATTGGGGTTTTGGGGACTTCATTGTTAACTCTGCATATAAGCCACCTTGAAGACTCTGACACATCACCCAGTCCCTTAATCTGTGGTAGTGTTGCTAGAATGACCATGGGCATGAATGGAATGACTATTCCTTGGCCTCCTAATGGAATGGCCATTTATACTGGAAATAAGAATTGCTTTTCAACGCATCAAAACCAGCTACTCTTCAATGCATAAGAACCTGCTCAGAAACTTGATTTTGAAAATCTTCACAATGCAGAGAAGCTTAAACATCTTCTAATAATTTGCTGATTTTCCTAAGGCCATTAATTGAGGAGCTAGAATCTTAATAAAAGCATTAAGCATACGTTGTAATTCCTTACAACAGGCCCTGGGATTCCACAGCTGCACATGCATGAGTAACTGTGTATGCTCCTATTTGAACAACTAAATTGCTAGTAATGTTCGCATCTTTCTTGATGTCATCTTTTACTTATTGGTACAATGGCTGCAGATGCTAAAGAGTAAAGATTTCTGTCAAAACCAGTTCACAACTTTTATAGCGCAAGAAAATCCCGCCTTTTGCTTGCTTTGAGCTTTCCAGTGAATTTGGTGCAAGAAAAATTTCTAACCATCATCAGAGAGACCAGTTCACAGATATTTTTTATTTTTGTTATTGAATAATTTTTTCTTGCTTATATTTGTAGATTGATGAAGCTTGGAGTTTGGATGAAGCTATTGTGGTTCTTTGGAGTTTGGATGAGTCGATGTTGCATATGTAGCAGCTGTTGCTATTTACTGTGGATTTCTTGGTCTGTTTAATTGTATAATTTAGATGATTGGCTGGATTCTCTTGGACTTAATTTGGATGGTTTGCTTGTGAGTGTGTACTGTTAATTTCTTTTTATTCATGTTGGACTTAATTTGGATGGTTACTTGTATGTTTGATTTCTTTTAATCAAGTTGAATTTAATTTCTTATTACTCTTGGGTGATGGTTTGTCTTTTGAATTAAGGTAATTTATTTGAAAAACAGGGTTGAAGGTTGAATGAGCCATATGATCTCTCTGATGAACTATGTACGTCTGTATATTTCCCCAACAAAACCATCTAGATGATGTCTGTACACACCACATAGACCACAATTTCATAGGAATATCCTTTATACCATTTGTCAACGGCGACTCTAGAAATTTTCATGAGTGGTGTCATTTAAATTTTTTTGATTGACTTTATTTTTGGTTTTTGATTTTTAAACTTTTTAAAAACAAAAAATAATAAAAGTTTGAAAAGACTCATCATTTCAATCTCCCTTTTCATTTATTTATTTTTTTTGAAACTCTAAAAAATAATTCAAACAATATTTCCATATTAGTTTTTTGCTTTTTTCTATTTCTGAAAATAGAAACTTTTCAAATCATAAATAAAAAATTGATATTATTTTTGAAATATGAATACATACACTTTTTTTTGTTTGTGTGTGTGTGTGGGGGGTGGTAGTAGCCTTAAATCTCCAGACTGATTATTCATGTCAGCACAATTCTTTTTAAAAAAATTATTTATATAATTATCACAAGTTTCATAGGTAAAAGAAGAATTTACAGTACAATTAAAAAATTTCTGAAATTTATCCACAACAAGAAAACAAAATTAGTGAATGTAACAAATAGCCACCTCTCACGTTGCTTCTTAAAAACACCAACACAAAATTGATAACTGTATGAATCAATTATATTTAGGAAGACATACATATAGATCCTACTAAATGGATTTTGTTTAATAGATTCTATGAGAATTAATGATATTTTTTATCATATACTATTAAAAAAGTCACTAATTGTTAATTTTCAGTGACTGTTTGAAAATTGTCACAAAAAATGTCACTAATTATAAGTTTTAGTGACAGTTTAAAAAAATCGTCACAAAAAAATAAAAATTTAACTTTAAGCGACAGTCTGAAAAATTCATCACAGGAAAACGCATTAATTGTAAGTTTTAGCGATAATTTATAAAAACCGTAACAAAAAAAAGTCACTAATTGTCAATTTTTAGCGACATATGTATAAAAATTACAAAAAATTATTTTTAGCGACGATTGTAATAAGACTTATTTTCAATAAGACTTTACAGAAATTAAGTCTAATTATTAGGACCTATTAATAGTTTACTCATACATAATTTTAAATATGTGTGCCACATAACAATCAAAGTCATCGAATAATTTTATAACATAGTAGACTACTATGGGGGTGTTTGGGAAGAGGTGGTTTAGGCTAATATAGCCTCCAAAACAAAAATAGCCTAAAAGCCTCCAAATTAAAAGGTTTTCAAAAAAAAAAAAAAAAAAGAAAAATTAGGCCGGCAGTGGCTGTCACTGTGACAGTGGTAGGCTATCACAGTGACAGGTAGTAGAATTACAATTTTGCCCCTATTGATTTACTTTGAAAAATGTGAGAATAGGGATAAAATTGTCATTTTAATTGCAAACATCATTTCAACACATTTTTCAATACACCAAGTCAAATAAAAATCTATCCCATCTTCCCAAACACAAAAACTAAAATAGCCTATTAAAATAGTCAAAAAGTCAAAAAGCCTCTAAAATAGTCACTTCCCAAACGAGGCCTATATATCATTTGTTTTTTTCATCGTTTGATATCACTAAATTACATGATAAGGTATTATTTGTTTCCATTAATTGTTTAGTAATTATCTTAAAACAATGAATCATAAGTATTTATGTAAGAAGTAATATAAAACGGTGATAAAAAATAAATAAAAAAAATTATGATATACATAATTTCTCATTATAAAAAATGTTACTCATTATAAAAACTGTAACTATGATTTCTATGTAAGTATGAGGGTTCATAAAATAAAAAAATAAAAAATTGGTAAAAAGAGGGTTCTGGCAAAAAATTTCAGAAGGTTCATTCAATACATTATTTACATTTAACTATATAGAAATTCATATATCTAATAAACAGTCTTGAAATATCAGTGGGTTCTAGTGAACCCTCTCACCTCAACATGGAGTCGCCTATGCCATTTGTTCTCTCATGTATGTTTTCTCTCATGTATTAGGGGTTTAACCAACAAAGGTCATTAATATTTTCTTCTGTCCAAAATTTTTTTGTCGCCAAGAAGAATTTTGGAGATCCTTTCGTACCCCTCCATAGAAAATCATGGGTCTCCGGCTGTCTAGCATCTTTCAAGCCAAAGCCATCTTCTGCTGATCCTTTTTTGGTTCCAATATATATAAAAAAAAAAAAAAAAAAGAAAAAAAGAAAAAAAGAAAGAAAGAATTTGAAGAAATGCCAAGCAAGCTAAAGAAGGTCTGATCATTGATGATTGGCAATATGAAAATTTGTGCAAAGCAGAATAGACACATTCGTCTCTCTCACATTGAAATGGATGTTGAAAGTTGAGAGGCTACAACGACATGTAAATAATTGCAAACAATTTTGTAAAGCAGATTCTTCAATCCCATGTGAAACTTGTTCTGGTCTTTCATTTATATTAGAAATAAGAATTGCTCACTGACGAACCCATGATATGGTTGGTTTTTTAGTTATAATAAGGCTTCTCTTTTCTTTTCTTTTTTTTGTGTAAGACATTGGCAGAATTGATATGTAACTGTAATAAGGCATTATGACTTTGGTGATTGAGCTTATAGACCGGTACAAGACACAATAAATAATATGCAAACTGTTCATGGATGTAATACTTTTTCCACCCAAAACAAATTTAAAAGGAAAAATGTTCATGCAATTTCTGTTAGCTTTTGATAAAACTTTCTCTAAAATGAACTACTATTTTGTATTGAATTTTTCTCTCTTATTATTCATATCCTTTGCCGATAGGCTTACATCCTTTTATATAGAAAATGTTATGCATAAGTTCAATGAATAAGATCCATGAACCTAAACAACTTTGCAATTAACTAGGTACATGAATATAATCTAGACAATGTACTTAATAAATATAAAATACATGAATACAAAGAATGTATGAACTCAATGTATCCAATGCATGCAATGTATCAAATGTATCTAATGTAAATATGGCATTAATTTTAACACTCCCTCTTAATGCCATATTGTGTGACACCCAACATTTCTCTAAAAAATTCAAACTTGTCCCTTGGTAGAGCTTTGGTGAAGATGTCCGCAACTTGATCTTCAGTCTTGTAATACTTGATTTGAATCTCATCATCTTCCACAGCTTCTCTAATGAAATGATGTTTGATAGCAATGTGTTTGGTACGAGAATGGTAGATGAGATTCTTTGTCATAGCAATAGCAGACTTATTATCACACATAATTAGAGTAGCTTCACCTTGCTTCTCATCAAAATCATCCAAAATTCTTCTTAGCCAAATTGCTTGTGTAGTTGCCAATGACGCTAAAATATATTCAGCTTCAGCAAATGATTGTGCCACAGTTTGTTGTTTCTTGGATGATCATGAAATTACGCCCGATCCAAGAGAAAATGCATACCCAGAAGTGCTTCTCATATTATCAACACATCCGGCCCAATCACTATCACAAAATCCAAGTAACTTTGCATCAACAAATTTCTCATAAAAAATTCCATAATCAAATGTACCTTGAACATATCTCAACACTCTTTTTGCAACCCCAAAATGAATTTGGCTCGGACTGTGCATGAACCGAGACAATAAACTTGTATTATACATGATGTCTGGTCTTATAGCAGTTAAGTACAACAAACTTCCAACCAAACTTCTATAACAAGATGCTTCAGCTTCTTTGCTTCCATATTCCTTTGACAACTTTTCATTCACAATCAAGGGAGTAGCAACTGCTTTGCAATTCTTCATTTTAAATTTCTCAAGAAGTGTTTAAGCATACTTCTTTTGGCAAATAAAAACGCCACCATTGTTTTGGTAGATTTCAATGCCAAAAAAATGATGCAATAGCCCCAAATCACTCATTTCATATTTCTTTAGCATCTCCCTTTTAAAATCTTCAATCAATTTTTCATCACTACCGGTAAAGACCAAATCATCAACATAAAGTGAAACAATGAGAATACTGGTTGTACCTTGCCTCTTGATGTACAAAGTTGGCTCACTTTTGCTTCTTTGAAAACCCTTTTCATTGAAGTAAACATCAATTTCACTATACCATGTCTAGCGTGCTTGCTTTAGGCTATATAAAGCCTTCTTCAACTTGTACACTTTATCTTCTTTGCCTTTGACAACAAAGCCTTGAGGTTGATCAACATACACCTCTTCTTCTAATTTTCCATTCAAAAATGCTGATTTTACATCAAGTTGGTGCAAGAACCAGCCCTTTTGAGCCGCCAAAGCAATGATAGCTCTAATTGTATCAAGTTGAGCCACAGGAGCAAAAGTTTCTTGGAAATCAATTCCAGGTTGTTGTGAATACCCTTTTGCCACAAGTCTTGCTTTGTTCTTTTGAATAGAGCCATCCGGATTGAACTTTGTTTTGAAAATCCACTTCACACCAATTATTTCTTTTCCTTTCGATTTCTTCACTAGCTCCCAAGTCTTGTTCTTCTCAATCACATGAATTTCATCTTCCATAGCTTTCTTCCATGCTTCATCTCTAATTGCCTCTTCAAAATTTTCAGGTTCAACAATGCATAAATTGCAGCTTGCATACACATCACTAAGACTCCTTATATTTCTTGGAGTTGAACTTGGAGATGAAGAACTTGAACTTTAACTTGGAGAAGATTGTGAACTAGCAATTGGTGACCCTCTTTGTGGAGATTCAAGAGTTACAACATCTTCAACTTGTGGACTTTTCGATTCTTCATTGAAAGCAATGCTTTGATCTTGAACTTTCTTTTTCTTCCAATCAAAAGACGCCTTCTCATCAAAGAGAACATCTCTACAAATAATCACCTTCTTTTGATCCAAACTAAAGAGTCTATAGCCTTTGGATTTCGAGCTATAACCCACAAAGATGCATTTCTTACTATTTTCATCAAGCTTGTGTCCACTTCTTTTGGAACATGAGCATAACAAATGCAACCAAACACCTTCAAGTGATTCACCGATGGTTTCCTTCCACTTCAAGCTTCAAATGGAGTTTTCTCCTTAAGAGCTTTTATAGGACATCTATTCATCAAGTAAACTGCTGTATACACGGCCTCACCCCAAAAAGTTTTGGGTAGCCCCTTCTCATGTAGCATAGACTTGGACATCTCCTCTATGGTTCGATTCTTCCTTTCCGCCACACCATTTTGTTGTGGAGTGTACCCAACAGTCAATTGCCTTTCCATTCCAATATCTTCACAAAATTTCATAAACTCATTTGGGTTATATTCTCCGCCTCTATCACTTCTCAATACTTTCATCAAACAACCACTTTGTCTTTCAACAAGATTTTGAAATTTCTTGAAGATAGAGAAAACTTCACTCTTTTGTCTTATGAAATACACCCAAGTCATTCTAGTAAAATCATCAACAAAGATAATGAAGTACTTGTTACCTCCATGAGTTGGTGTATCTATGGGTCCACATGCATCGGTATGGACAAGCTCCAATGGTGCTTTAGCTCTCCATGCTTTCTCCTTTGGAAATGACTCCCGGTGATGCTTTCCAAGTGCACAACCTTCACAAATATGTTGCACTTCATGAATGGTTGGCAACCCAAAAACCATATTCTTTTGTTGTAGATGCTTCAAGCTTTGAAAATTCAAGTGCCCAAATCTTCTATGCCAAAGCCATGAATTATCAATCACCTCCATCTTCAAAGCTGCATTTTTGCTATACCGGAAAATGAGAGGAAAACTTCTATTCTTCTCCATCTTGATTTTTGCTACAACTTGGCTTTTCCCATTTTTGCCAAAAATTTTGCAAAAATCGTCTTCAAAGTGAACAAGGTATCCATGCTCCATAAGCTGTCCAATACTTAGCAAATTTTGCTCCAAGTCTGAAACTAGAAGAACATCAAAAATAAGTCTTGTACCCATCTTGGTTTCTATAGCAATAGTACATTTTCCTTTTGTTTGGACTAAGGCACCATTCCTTATTTTTACTTGAGAACTGGAGGAAGCATCCATTTTCACAAAAAGGCTTTCATCTCTTGTCATGTGATTGCTACATCCGCTATCGAGAAACCATACATCCTTGTTTTGATCTGATGCCTTGTGACAAGCATAAAACATGTGCCCTTCATTTTCTTGCTCCTCAGAAAAATTAGCTTGTTGAGTGCTCTTGACTTGGCAATCCTTCTTGACATGCCCAAATTTGTTACAATTATAACATTTTGGCTTTCCTCGAAACCAACAATCTTTATCAACATGATTGCTTCGGTTGCAAATTCCACAATTTTGTTGAGTGGACTCTTCATTTTCCTTTCTTTGAAAATTAGACCTTCCTCTTCCTCTTACATTTCTTGCTCTTCCGGTTGCATTTCTTCTTCTTCCTCTTCCTTGGGAATTAGAGGTACTAACATTAAGCTTGGATTGAAAGGCACTTTCAATTGACTTTTCAGATTGCCTACCTCAACCTTTGCTTAAATGTTTTAATTGAACCCATCAAATCTTCAATACTCAAATCAGCAAGGTCTTTAGTTTCTTCAATGACAAC